GAACTGAGGGGTGAAAACAGCATCGTATCAAATATATAATGAGCCCTGACGAAATGACATAAAGGCATCCTCTCTTCCATTGAGGACAAAAGGAAAATATCATCTAACAGGGCAATTATTCCAAAAGAGAAACAAAAATGCTAGATAGGAAATTCTGCGGCTTTCCCTCTATTGTCTAAAGTAGCCATTTTCTCCCTGCAAAGCTGCCAGTGCTACCAGTATATCAATGTTTACCAACTTCAGCACCTGACAAGGGACAAACATGCAGTAATTGTGTGACTAGCATGGGATGCTGGATGAATTTGGGAAAAGCTCACGCATTAAACAGAGGACAGCATTAAAGGCTCAGAAACAGAGCTCAGGCCGTGACTGCGGGTCTCCGCTTCTCTCCCCGTCTCAGCGAAGACCAGCTCGTTAAAGTGCACCGCAGTCTCTCTTAACGAGCGCGGGACGTTCGCCGGTCTGCGCCAAGCAGCTGTGAAACACGGAGCCCAGAAATGTTGACGGCTTTTGGAGTCCTGGTTTATCTCCACATGCGAACGTGGCCTTAAGGATTTGTCACCGTCTTTTAAATTTTGAATTGAATTTCCGCATCGTTCAGAGTTCAGGGATGTATTTGTGGGGAGATGAATCCTGAAGTGTTAATCCTGGAAGTGAAGTCTATACCGCAAGTCAGCTCTGGATCATCGAGATGAATGTCATTTTCAGTTTCGCCGCGATTCTGAGTTACAGAGGTTACAAGGATTACAAGCCACTGAAAAGCTGGTCTGTTCTGATTTAATCCACATATTAATGGAGAATTTACAAGTATTACTAGCAAATAATTAATGCATAATAGTGCATATTTTGCTGATGAGTACTTTTGCACCTTCTTAATGCTTTTTAGTCTGTCCTCTAACAACTTCAAAATGTTTTTGCTGTTTCGTATTTATATTAAACTGGCAATATGCAGTTTATGCAGTTAATGATTAGTTACGGTCGACTTGCATATGGTCTGCTGAGCTATATGAGTGGTCTGAGGGTGAGACTGTTTACCAATAGGGACTATCCTCCAAGGAAGTATGCAAGGGCGGGGGCCAATAGGCACTGGTCTCAGCTGAAAGCTGATTGGCCGCCGGAGTGCTCCCTCCCCTGTCACTCACCGATTCAAAGCATATCATTGGCTAATAATAAGAGTGGCCTCTCTGTATGAATTTTGTGGCCCCTATTGTGCCCCCCCACACCCCCCACCTTAAAAACTCCTAGAATCATCCCTGTTGTCCTCCCTCCATCATGAGTTGAGTCTCAGTGTTATGGATGGCTACCAGGATTTAGCTGCACAGTACTGCAAAACTGGATCCAAGACAGGCAACCTGGAAGAGAATCACTGGTTAAGGAGCCAGGGGTCGGGAACCGAGAAACACCGGAGGCTCAGTCACAGCATAAGAGGTGTAAACCATCTATTCCTGTACCTGCTTGTCCTATTCAGGGTTAGGCGGGCTCCAGAGCCTAAGGACACAAGGCAGAGAACAACCAAGGATGGAGCACCAACCCATCGCAGGGCACAGTCACACACCATTCACTCACACCCACACCTATGGGCAATCTGATGACTCCAGTTAACCTCAGCATGCTTTTGGACAGTGGGGGAAAACTGGAGGAAACCCCATGACGACACGGGGAGAACATGCAAACTCCACACACAGAGCCATGGCGGAGACTCGAACGCTGGTCCCAAAGGTACAAGGCAAGAGTGCTAACCAGTGTACCACTGTGCAAACTGGGAGACTGGAAGGAAGATAAAGCATCAGTTAAGAAACCAGGGATCAGGAACCAGGAAACAATCGACAGGAGCAAAGGTCAAAGAGAAGAATCCAGGTCTAGGAGACAAAAACCAGAAAAGGTCGAGCAGCCTGAGGACATATATAAATAATCAGCTGAGCTTGTTACATCTCAGGACTTCCCGGTCGGGTCTCGGGTCGGAGAGCTCTTCTGTTTCTGTCACCAAGCCGATAAGCTTCTCCTGCAGTACAGATGGGCTCTTAACATTATCTATATAACAACCCAATGTTCCCCCTACTGCTTCTGATGGCTGTTGCTCTATTAACTAATCGGCAGGTGAAAATTGAAATACAGAAAGTGCACAATGGAAAACCAGTGCATTAGGTGGCCAGCGAGTTTAGGAAAGTAATGGCAGACTGCTTGACATTTTAATCACTCCTATCTAGACCATTTATCCTTAGATTAGTAATCACCGGACATTATTCTCAGTATTTAGATTTAAATTTATGTGCCTATTCACAATTATAATGTGCGTTGTCGGCAATACAGGCACAGCTACTGAAATTAGCATTGAAATAACCAGGAGATATAGGTGGATTCACCAAAAAAACAAAACGTTCCACAAAAGAGGAAGAGGGTGGGTGTCTGGTATTTTTAGATGGCCGTCTGCATTAACTCGATTGTACTTAGTGGGACTCAGCCTGGGGAGAATTCAGATGCAATTTTCCTAAATTATTAAACCTTTATTCATTAAATATTTCACAGGACAAATCATAGGCACTGACCAAAAATGGCCTAGAAAATGTAGGTCATGTCTAACTTAGTCCTGCACTGTAAATATCTCCAGAATCATATCAATAAGCAGATATGTGTCTGTTATAGTTTTTTTTTTTTTTAATAAAAATAAAGTCAGTTGTCAGTTGTCAATCAAAGATGTATGCGATGCTACTTTGAACCAAGAACTGTTGTATTTCCAGTACAAGTAATTGCTAAATGTGTCAAAGTTTATCATGGATAATCTCATTTTCCCTGCCTGAAATGGGCGACTGGCTCTAATGCATTTAGAGTCTAAATCTCCTGGTCTACATTCTTTGTTTTCACATTTGATTTAAACTGCAAGGATTCCACAAGTTCGGAGTACACAGGAGAGGACTTGTTGCTTTGTTTACTCATTGCAAATCCTAAGAACCTAAAGATACTTTTCCTGCAACTGCTGTAGCATTCACATGATTGAAGGTGCGGTTATGTTTCTTGGTTATTTCTCCGAGGAAGACAGAACTGACGCACGCAACATGACGGTTAAGTCGGAGCTAGTTTGTTTGGCACCTGAGAATAGACTAGCGATGAGTGTAAGGCAGCGCATAATAGAGGCTTTGGAGCAAACTTAATCTTCTGCTGTGGAGTCGTATTCTTTGAGTTGCCAATCACAGGCACTGGATACCCGGAGTTTTTTTTTTTTTTTTGTCAGTGGAAACGTGCTTCCGTTGACCCAGTTTCAGAAAAGTCTAGAGTTTTCCTCTGGGTGTATTGACAAAATACATATGTAAACAAAACAGAAGGCAGCGCTTAAGGAATCACTAGGAATGTGAATTAGAAGCCCACATTTGTATCCATATTTGGGTTACTAGAAATTAGACCAGCTGTATAATGAGGGAAACATGTTCTGTATTCCCTCGGAACGTGAATTAAAGATTCTAACCTATTAAACACACTCAAAATAGATTTTGTTCTCGCCTGAAAATAGCATCCGGCAGAATGCTGCAATGCATTTGTCTGCTATACTAACTGCATCATTAACTGCTGCCTCATAGAGGCAGAGCTGCGTTTGGCCTCTGCCCTCAGTGAAAGACGCATGCAACAGCTTCCTCGTGCTTGTTATTCCCATGACACTCTGAAGTCCCTCAGGATGGACGGCGTCCAACCAGGCGAGGTACGGAATAGAGTTCACCATGTCTCCCAGACCCTGTGAAATCGTCATGCTGGATGGGGTGTGTAATATTCAGAAGAGGCTGGTCCACAGAGGTAGAGGAGGTAATACCTCGACTATTTTTCAGATGAAATTTTTTAGATGAATTTTATGTAGCACAGTCAGAGAACCTGCTAGAATAAGGATTTCAGTGTATTCTGTACAAGAACAACTGCATGTGACAAATAACAAAAAAAACTGAAATATTGTAACATTGAAATAACTCATTACTATTTTTTTGCCATTTAAAATATGCATTCTCTCTTCTTTGGAAAAAACATCACTGTTGTAATATTACAAAATGTATTACCTTCTGACCTCTGTTTTTTTAAGCCACCAACAGTCACTAGTAACACTGCAAGCTGAATGCACTTCAGACATTCAAACATTACTACAAAAAACATACTGTATTCTTCTCTTTTTGCACTTAGAGCTCTGCCATATTCTTTAACAAAAAATATTGCTCACATCAATGTGCATTTGGCAACTAGAAGATAATTCAGTGTCCAAAACTATTTATCCTGACAACGGAAAGATCAAAACAACACCCATTTCGCCTCATGAATTAGTTAAACTCATAGAAATCAGAGGGCTAGAGAAAATGGAAACATGAATACATTGTCATTGTCTAAGTCCCCAGCTGTATAATAGCACTGTTTTAATTACTATTTTATTATTCAGACTAACTCCTTATGGAAATTTATGCATAAATGTAACAGCTGTCATGTGACTCTTGTGAACACTTTCCTTTTTCATGGCATGTGACATTTATAGCTTACAGTAGGTATGTTGGTGTTGGTACACAGTGTCTAATAGAATTGCGTAAGTGTTTTTTTGTATAAATGCGTAAAATTTTAGCTGTCAATCACAACTTGTAGTCGCCCATGACTATTAATATTCTCTGTTGTCAGATTCAGGTTGCCAGTCCATTTTGTCCTATAAGATGTAACAATACTTTAAGGCCAAGAGTACTTAGCAGTGATGGCCAAATGAAACGTCGTGAACCATTTTCTGTATTTTTTACCCCACTAGATAGTGCTCTTGATTTGCTTTGGAACATGAATCGAACCCTGTTTCGAATAGAGCGCCATCTAGTGGTGTCAGAAAATACACCAAATGGTTCATGAAGCTTCATTTGTCCATCACTAGTACTTAGGTCAAACATTTCCCTTTAAAATTGCGAATTTCTTCCTGAAACTAGTAATTATTGAACTGTTGATTTGCTCACTGATTATACAAAAATGTAGACAAAACTGAAGGGGGACACAGCCGAGACTTATAAGGTACATTGGACACACTATTTTTATTTGTAATAAAGAGACACAAGCTTAAAAACTCTCAAGACTGCTAAATATGGATACATGACACCACGCATATTGAGAAAGTTGTTCGCTTTAAACTCAACTTAAATGATCATTTTTAATTAACTTGGCTAAAGAAACTGAGCCTGCAAAGTGATCGTTTAAAAGGTCCGTTCAGTTAAACTTGATTGTTTGAACCCTTGGCTCTCCTAAACCATCATTACTAGCATTTTGTATCTGGTTTAACATTTCTCCTTTGGCACCTTTAAACAAATCCCACACTTCCAGAGAAACATGTACAGTTCTAACAATATACAATGCAAAGACAGAACATGACAAAACTACCAAGATGTTTTTACATATATTACATACAAATCAAGGTACCATTATTATTAACCATCCTAAACTCAATTACTCATACTGAAAATTACATCTACAACTTAATCCAGCTGGCATATATGGCTAATTGGTCTTAAACCATCCTGAACAGGTGGGCATTGTGGAATGAAAAAGAAATCTCTTTTAGACAAAGACATTTCCAGATGATTTGGTAAAAAGTAGTGATGGATGAAATGATGCTTGATGAACCATTTGCTATATTTTTTGACCCCACTAGATGGTGCTGTCTGTTCAAAAAAGGGCATAAAGCATGCCCCAAGGCAAACCAGGAGCACCATCAAGTGATGTGACAAATACCGCAAATGGTTTATGTGGAGTCATTTTGTCCATCACTAGTAAAAAGAACAGATTATAATTCAATCCACCTTTCACTTTTCTACTACAGTCCTACCAATAACAACCCAGAGATGAAACAGGTACTCAGATATATTCAGCTGTGGATAAAAAAAAAAAAAAACATAATTATTTATACATTTTAACATTAAGTTCATGCTTTTGCAAAAACGTTGTTCCAACTTTAACAAAAAAAAAAACAACTATAAACAACAATAACAATAAATAAATTGAAGACTAAAGAGACATAGGTTACACAGATGGGTAGCTGTCCTCACAGGCGATGTGTCCACAGCGAACGCGTCGCATGAAAGATGTCGTTTTTCGGCTGAGACTCACTGGCCGTCCTTGATTGGCGGTTTGGGATTGTGTTGGGCGGAGGCAGAGAGCCAAGGCGAAGCTGAGTGGGCGGTAGCCTGCCTCGCCATGCTGTAGTGACTAATAACTGTATAGAAGCGCCCCCTGGTGTTCTGATCCTGCGCGGTATAGTAAGCCTCCAGTGAGGCAGGTATACAGCGCTTATGCTGGGAAAGAACAAAATAAAAAATAAATAAGATGACGGATTTCCAGCCACAAACAGCTGCAGAAATCGCCTGGATCTTGGCGTTACTTTAAGCATTACAGATACATCAGCTGTCGAGCCAAAAACTTCAGCAGATACAAACCGTACTTAAAAGCTACAGTATGCATGACACCCATGAAAGTAAAAAATCAAAATATGAAGACATTCCAAACACAGCTCGGTATCTCACGTCGAAATCTCCGCCGTACTTTCGGAAATAGCTAGGGGGAAAAAAAACATTGTAATTTTGATTGTGAACCCTACATACCTTGTACACAAAACCATCGGGGCAGCTGGGGTCGTAGGTGAAGGCCTTATAAACCACGAGGAAAACGATGCAGGCCAGGAACGCCAGGGCCAGCACAATGAGGATGGTGACCTGAAGAACAACGAGTCAACAGCTTAAGTCGATTACATAGAATTACATCTTGAGCACAGTCTATACTTTGCTTCTTGCAAGCAGGCCCTCTCTTTGCTTTTCCTATAATGTTAGCATGTGGGGCTGCCCTTGGACCCCCCAGAGGTTTATTTTTCCCTACTTGTAATTCTTTGATTCTTCTCCTCCGTTGCCATCATGCTTTCTTCCATTCGTCTTACCTTTTCCCTGTTTTTGAATTATTCTTTATAAATGATGTTAGGATGCATTACACCCATGTAAAGTGCTTTGGGGCGACTCTGTTGTGAAAGGCACTATATAAAAACGAATTGCACTGAATTGCATAGCATCAACAGTATTGATAATGACTGTCAGATCCTGATAACAAGTACTTATCAAATGAAGTAGTGTTGAGTAACATCTTGTTAATTGTGGGAACTGTTGGATACTATGTGTACACAGAATCATTTTTAGTATCTTGAAGAGGTAAAGTTGATAATTGAATTTGTTTGATTTTTAAACTGCCAGTTTATCACTGATACATTGTATAAAATGATGCACATGCAGCTGTTTCGCTCTTCTTTGTAATTTTTGATCTTCTGCCACATAGTGTCAGACTCTATGGGATTGTCCGGGCAGCAATGTCCCTGCTAGGTGGTCTACATGCAGTCTGCCACATCCCTCAGTCTATATTGTCCCTTGTGATGCGTGCCCAATCAGAACAGCGGGGATGAGAACAGCAGGTCTTGGACACCTTGGTAACAGCCAATCATGACAGCGGTATGCCCCGCCTCACCAGATGTCATCGTCCAGGGTGGCATGTTATAATTCATACATTCACTGACGATTTATTGTTTAAAAGGGATTTTTCTGTTTAAGGGATGAGATCACTTGCTGAACTTCATTGCACTGACAATAATACCACTGAGCATTAGCAACAACCATAATAATTTTAGTGTTGCTTTCAGTATTATGAAGCACTACTTAGTTTTTTTGCCATTGTTTATATTTTTATAACTGTTGTTGTTGATGGCGTCATGTTAATTCCAGTCCTTTCTATGCATTTTTTGAGAATAAGACAAAGAATTCGAATAAAAGACAAGCGAAAACAGTTTAAACGGAAGGAAATTATCTGCAGCATTCATCTCCGCAAATCCCTTCCTGTCAATTCATCTTTCAAGACTTCGATATATAAAACAAAATTTCTTTGAAGAAGAATAAAAGGATTCTGAAAGTCTGTTAGCTTTCAGATCAGAACCCTAGCTGCAAGCTGTGTGATGAAAATAACAAGCCTTGGATGTCACTTCTAATAATCCCTCATTCATATTTGCTTAAAATTGTACTGGTTAGGAAGAGACGATATGGAAGGGAATAGCAATCAAATCTGACACACAGCGCTCACAGAAAGTCTTAGGATGCTTTCTTAATTTTGTAAAAATGTTGCACATTTATCGGTTTCATAACTAACTCCATTGACGAGCAATGTTTAACATATAGCCTATTCACATATCTTCCGCACAGACATTTTCTTTTCATTAAGTGTCATAATTTTTTGAGTCGTTTAGTTCTGTTAATTGCAACTGTAGTCAATGGCTTCCAAGGGGATACTACAGTAAACACAAATGTGCGGTATTTTATGTTTTTGCAAATGTGTTACTAATTAAAAAGCACTCAATAATTAAGCAATAACATACAAGAAGGATTGCGGTTGTACTCCAATATATCACAGCCGCGATATATTTTTAGTATAACCGCATGACTTCGAGTATGTTATTGCTTTTATACAACAGTTCATCGGGTAGCATTTATAAGGTAACAGTAATGACTTACAGCATATTTTATTTATTCATTTAAACATTTACGGGCCTCCGCAAAGAAAAATAGTTCCCCTATAACGTCAGCGAAAGTGGGACAGGCTATTGCATTCAAACCCAGAAAATTCAGTCTATAACTCATATAGTTTCGCCTAACATCGCAGGTGCCAGCAGTGAAACAACTAGCTGGCTTATTAGCGGAATAATTTTGCATTGCAAATTAAAACCATGGCGCAGGTCTAATAAATAAAATATTTTGCCGCCCGAGCGGTGAAGAGCTCATCAGGCGGACTGCAAAGTTCAGTTATTTGCATATGCTTTTATTGCGTATTCCTTAAAAAGACAGCGCTAAACAGCGCGCGAGAGTAAACTCACTTACACACAAATGCGGGAGTCTTTAGGAAAAAGCAGATACAGGCATAGCGCAACAAGACATACTTTTAAAACATTTTTTGTTCGTTTCTGCGGCTTATAAAAACTTAAAATCCGAAACAGATCAAAATAAATCCATCAAAACGGAATACAAATAAACCTTTAATTTACTCTCCTTCCGCTATGTTCATTTTTGAAACCGGTGGAAACGCAGGCAGGTCCTCAAAAGCCACCAAGCGAGAACCAGCCCAGCACCGGTTCCCTGTTGGAGGAAACGAGTTATATGTGAAGCGGAGTGATACAGCTGATGTGAAATGTCCGAGTGTGGTTATAACTGCACTCATAGAATGCCTCTTTTCCAATCAGATTTCTTGGTAGGCACTAACTGTTGTATAATACTTGTCAATGAACTTTGTAACGCAGAACAGCTCCTTTAGAACTATAATTTGGGTTTCAATTTATTACTACTTGAAAGAAATGTTTTACTTAAAACTACTGCTTGTTTCTAAAGTGATATATATCTTTTTGTAAACAAATATAGTGCTGATTTTTGTTATAAGACCAATAAATTAGCAATACTTTTACTGAGTTAAACAAGTACCTCAGCTTTCAGGCTGTCCGAGACCACTGTATATATCCATCCTTTCATAAACCTATTTCCATACGTCCATGACTGCTAACCAAGGGTGTTGTGGGAACCTGAAGGCCATCCAAGCAGGTACAGAGCCGAGGTGGAATACCAGCCCATCTCAGGGCCACACCAGGGGCATGCAGACACTATGTCACCTAATGACAGAAGACAGGGCATGCAAACAAAACCCACAGGAAGAGCTACAGGCACAGCCAATCAGGACAGAGAAAGAGCCCATTCAGTCACCATGACAGCCCCATATATAGAAATACAGTATATACTGCATGTTCACAGTACTGTGCAAAAATCTAAGGCAGTCAAAAAAAAAACGTTCAAAATTATTTATCTGGGCATGAAGTGTATATTTGCATAGAAAAAAAACACAGTAACACTTTCCTTGAAGCTGTGATTTATAATGCATTATAAATAAGCCTATAAAACCTTCATAATGCATTATAATGGTCAGTGTAAGAATTAATAAAGCATTACAGCATCTTCTATTGACAGTCATAAAGCATTATAGTGTTGATAATACTACTTATGTAAAGTTATCTAAAATGCACTACAGATACCTTCATAATGCATTATAATGGTTGGTATAAGACTTAAGGATACTTTACTGCTTTATGAAGGTATCCATGATACATTATAAATGAGAGATTCGTAATGCATCATAAACATGGCTATAATGTGTTATGCCTTTTATAAATATTTATAGCTTTATGAATGCGTTATAATGTGTTATGATTGTGTTTGTAGATTCTTATACACATGACATTCATAGAAAGTGTTACCAAAAACAGAAATTAACACCTGAACATATGCAAATTAGAGTAACACAAGAATCTCTTCTGTTCTCCAAAAAGTCACTGATATCTTGCTGGATGGTTAGATGAACTCCGCTTCAGTTCCAAATTTCTCCTAAATGGCACCCCAGTCATTCCACACATTCATGAAATTTCAGCGCCAGCTAAATTAATTTAATTTGTTAAATAACTCAATGAGGTATTGATTAGCCAAACAAGGTACACTAATGGGCAAGTCAGCAAATACAGAACTAGATGGGAGTACTGGATGGTTACTGGGGTGTCATTAGGTAAGGTTTTGAAATAGCTAAGATGACACACTATGAAGGACATAACATCATAGTTTTACATTAACATGAAGATCAAACGACTATGTGTGTGTGTGTGTGTGTGTGTGTACGTGTGTGTGTGTGAGAGAGATTATATATATCATTCACATATAACTACCAAGAAGGATCAGAGAGTACACTAACATATGTATCAAGATATGAAAGCAACCCAAAATATAACTTTAAGATCAGATCTACAATCTGGCCACATGCAGTGAAGGCTGTAAAATAAGTACGTTTAGAATTTAAGCACTTAATTCCAATATCTGAAGGTGAAAGTATTAGACCATCATGCATTCATGTAATATAAATTGTATTTTAACTGAGGGGTAAAAAAGCAGTTTCTAAGTAGGATTCCAGCTCCCTTCGGTCCTCTGCTAAATTAAACAGAGGCCTTGCTCCACAAAACAGCAAGAATATTACCAACTTTTGTGTGTAATTTTAGGATTGCACACCCCAAAGCAAGCATATTGTATTGTTTGTTCAATTGTTTCCATGGCTTATATTTTTATGCATATCTGGTTGCACTCGTCCTTCAATTTACAAACTGTTTCAGAAGTTACAGTACGAACTGAAAAAACGATACACTGTAGCTAGTCAGGACCCTGTGGACAATGGAGGCTTGATCTGTATCTACAATGCTTAATAACTGGCCAGGACCAGAGACAACAAATAGCCCAAACGTATTCCCACGTTACGGGTTCTCCGTAAGTGGAACATTCGAAGTTTAATTGAAAGAAGGAAAAGTTCTATTACTAATGCGGACGTGGAGCCTTTTGAAGATAAGACGATGAAGAACAGACTGAGAGCAGCTAAACACTAGCTGTCTCAGTAACCAAAGGCACAGAGGATTCCACAGGAAAGATTAAAAAAAAATGCACGGCAACAACTCATATAAAATGAGTTGATATAAAATGATATAAAACAGAACATGGTGGAAATCCACCCAGATGGCCTGACGGAGAAAACTGCAAGTTTGTGTTTTTTCACCCACCCATCTGCCTCCACCCATTTTTCTACCCCCCCCTCCCCCCCGAATACTGTGGGGGTG